ACATCTCCAAAGGTTAACTATCAATATTATAGGATGGAGGAACCAAATGGTAGAACCCAAGTTGTTGTAGAACTATACCTGCCATGAAGCCCTGCTAGCTGTAAGACTGGCAAAGCATCATTTGGTTTTGTAGCTCTATAGCAACTGGGGACTTTTGCTGCCCTAGGCAGGATGGTGTTCGGGCACCCTCACTAATTTAAATTTTCCCCACCCCTTCCTGTCAAGGATGCACTTTGACTGACAGACGCTCACTCACTGACAAACGCTCACTCAAGGACAGATGCACACACTCACTGATAGATGCATACACTCATTGACAGGCACACACTCTTATATACAATGACATACACACACACTCACTGATTTGACACACTGATAGACAGACACACACTATTACTTGGACACACACTGACAGATTCCCACTCACTGACAGATGCACACTCTCACTGACAGACGCACGCACTCGCTGACAGATGCACGCACTCACGGACCGACACACACATTCACTGACTGACACACACACATATTCACTGATGGACAAACACTCACTGACGGACGCACACACTAACAGACGCATGCACTCAGTGGCCGACACATACACTCTCACTGACCGACACATACACACACACACTTACAGACACACACACATTCACTCACAGACACACACATACACACTTACAGACACACACACACATTTCCACCAAGACTCACAAATTATTTTAAAATTTTTATTTTTATTCCACCCAGCCTCCCTGGGAGAGCTGGAGTGGATTGCTTACCTGCGGTCCAGTGGGGCTGCTGGTTGGGCAGGCAGAGGGGGGACAGGCTGAGTAGGCGGCGAGGGAGCTTTAATCTCCCTGCTCAGCTCCCTCACGTGCAGTTTAGTGATGCCGGGAGCCAGAGTGACATCATATTCCGTCTCCCAGCTTCATTAAACAGTGCGCGAGGGGGGGCCTCGAAAGTGGCCCGCCAGCGAGTTCTTGAGCCCCCAGGACACGAGGCAAACAAGGGATATGCCTTGTTTGCCTGGTGTAAAATACGTTCCTGACTGGGGACCACCACTGTGTATACTTGTATAGGGGATCTTGTAAACCGAATACTAGCAGCAGAACTAATGGTAGTAAGCAGGATCTTCAGACAAAATATACAAAAGTCTAATGATGAATGCATCAGAGGAAACCTAATATGCAATATTTCATTTTCGGTTTATTTACATCATGTATAATCATGTATACACATTAACATATTGCAGGATATGCTAGTCAATATATTATATATAAGTAGGATCCACTTGTGACCCTATTGTACCAGGACTCCTGTAGCTTCCAACCAACCCTTAGATGATGGTCTATATGCAACTGAGCTTTTATTCACATATTATTTTCATAAATATCCATGTGAACTAATTTCAGCTTTCAAGATAATATATAAAATATATACATTCAATTTACTAAGAATCCACAGTGATATTGCAGTGAAGGCAATGACGAGTAACGCCCGTGGACGTTTTTGCATGCTTTAGCAATTTGCTACAAAATTAGAAGCATCCCTTACTAGCATATTAGCTACCTATTTGTGAAAAAGGCCTGAAGGAGCCAGCCATCTGTGTTCGACTATGTCCGATCATGCCCTTTTAAAAATAGCAGTTACAATTACAATACGATTAAGATCTGGAATAAGATATTTAGTAATTTGTTTCTAGCCCCCAGTCCAAGTCCCATTTCATCTTCACGTAGAAACGGTAAAGTATTATTTATATGATTATTATTAACTTCAGAAGGAATACATTACATATGTTATATTGAATCATAACTGGCGTACAGAGAATGGGAGGTATATAATTCATACTTATAGTTGTACATGCAATAGAGAGAGACATGTGACATTTAATTTATTTATTTAGAAAGTGTTTTTCTGCATTTTATTAGAAAGAATCAAAAGCCACCTTAGTAGGATTCACATCAAGGAATAAAAACCCCTGGAGTACCGATTATAATTCCACTGTTAATTTAGTACATGCTTAGAAAGTGTAGGAAATAGTGAGGGAGCTTAATGCTTATGAGTAAGTGCTAATGCATAAAACATTTCAATTTATTGAGTTAATGAATGTCATTAGCATGTGTCGTACTATGGTGTTCCTATAAACAGGATCTAAACAAGAATAGGTTCGGGAACAAGTACTGATTTTAAGGTAGAGATGATGTTTACTTAAATTAATGTTAAAGAATAACTTCCAGAACAATATAACCAGACGATCCGAAATCAGAGAAAGTATAATTTTCTTTAATAAAGCACATTGTAATTATTGCACTATGAAAAAAAATAACATACAAAGTGCTAAATGTAAACCTGAATGTAAACATCACAGTGTGATTGTAAAAACTAGAAAATATAATTCTGTCCTGGCTCATTATCTTCAAAGTAACCACAAAGTTAAGTGCTCTCTTTGAGCGTCCGGCATTTGTATAGCCGAACAACACGTGTGCTGGAAAATGGCGTCCATCTTGTCTCCCGAAAGCAGGCAGCGATACTTGGTCATCGAGTGTCTGGATCTCCAAGCTCTACCTAGCGAACACCAGTGACTTTGTACCACCACCTGCTTCTATTCCCTACAAGCCAGGAGAGCTCTAGCTATGAGCCAGGGGAACCGTTATTTGTTTTGGGACTCCCGAAAGTGACCGTCCGCTACCACTTTTCTTCTGGAACTATTTTGGGCACACACCACGTGTGCAGTCGGTTAAAACCTTTCCCCTGTATTTGTGGGATCTGATCGCTATTTGGACACTTTGGGCACTCAGATCCAGGTTATCCGGGGATATAAGACTTGTGGGAGTCTCTATTAATGTTATGTATGTTTTGGGGTATTTTATGTTTCATTTTCTAGTGCCTGGGAGATAATTAGTTTCAGTAAAGTACACACCATTATCTCCCAGACATAGTGATACCTGGGCATGTTTTCCTATACTTTTGCTGGACACCGCATGCTGGATAAAAGTGGTTTATCTGGCCATAACAAACCATTTCTGTTGTACCCTTCATCAAGTATCGACTGATGTTTGGGCATGCTAACGATAAGACGCTTGATTTTCTTATGACCTACTTGGATTTCGGGAGAGTACGAAGGAGGGTACTATGCGAATGGGCTATAATCACATAACCCTCTACGAGTTCAGGAGAGTGCAAACGAATGTAATATACTAAGTACAAGGGGTTTATTACAATTGGTGGCAAGCGGTGGGATTTCACTCCTAAATAGGTTTCCCGAACAAGAAACAGCAGTGAATGGCCCAGCAGTATGAAAGCCTCAAATGAACAACACTGAAAGACCTACTGGAAGCTCGGGGTCAGTAGGCAAGTAATAAAAATAAATCAGCAATCATACCCGAACTGATGAAGGGAGACCAAGTCAGTAATGCAGCGAAAGTAAGTGGAGAAGAGGCAGAGTTCCAGAGTGACGTGAGATGGCGGCTCAGTATGCTGGGACCCAATCACTCACTGGAGTTGATTGTGCAAATCATGGAGCGAGCCACAGCAGCACAGATGGCATGGCAGACCAGAACTAACATGTATCAAGGAGATACAGCATATAGGAGATACAGGATCCAGTAATGGAGGGCAACTAAGAAAGGTGAACTATGCAGCATTCAAAAATTTTGTAGATGTGGAGATGCCTATTTGCAGGACTTTGAAAGACAGTGTGCCCTGGAAGGACCCAGACAGAGATAAGTGAGCAGCCATCCTGAGCAGCAAATTGTCCGGCAGAGCAGCTGAAGTCTACTGGGCTGTACCCGACTCGGATATACACCACTATGAGTGGGTAAAAGACATTTTATTGGCTGAATATGCTGTGACACCCGAGACCTATGGGAGAAAGATTCGGGGCTAAGGAAAAATAACACTCTTTTGCTGAGTGGGCATTCCGGATGCACCGGGCAGCCATGAACTGGATGCAGGGATGTCAGGCAACCACCTTGGATGATGCACTGCAACTGTTGCTGCTAGAACAGTTCTTTTATCATACACCTACAGCGATCCGGGACTGGGTGAGGGACCATAAGCCTGGAAACGTAGAGGAAGCAGCAAAGTTAGCAGACAAGTACCAAGATGGAAGGAAGGTAGAAGCCCCTTCAGGATGTTCTATTTGACACAAAGCACCCCATCACCATCCCAACCCACTCCCTGCACCCACACCAGCAACCTTTTGATGCACCAGGCCCTTGTGCCATGGGTGCAACCAACCCGGCATTTTAAAAACAAACCATAGTAGAGGGAGCTGGGAACGCACGCCACCTCAGCCAGTTTGGGCCACAGCCCACTGTTACCAGTAAGATTTTCATCCAATGCCAAGTTGCCCAAAGGAACAGTGGGTGAATCCTATCCAGGTTGCAGGTGACAACCAGGAACACCATCGGCAGTAGGTAATAGTAGATGGACAAGAGGCAAGAAGACACTGGCGCAACCTTAACACTAGTGCAACCACACAAGGTCAACCCTCAAGCCTGGACCGGCCAAACAGTAGCAGAGGGCGGCAGGAGGCGCCATCCATAAACTCCCAACTGCCCGAGTTCATTTTAACTGGGTTTCGGGGGCCAAACATCTGGAGGTTGGTATTCTGGGAGTCTTCCCAGCCAAAGTACTGTTGAGGAATGACCTGGGCTGCCTGACTTCGCAGTTCACTGCTCCATACCCTGAGGAGACCCTACCCATGACCACGAAACTGCAAGTCCGCAGGGGAGAACTAAATAAATATCAAATAACAAGGTTTTTCAGGGTAGTGTGTCACACCACCTTTAGTTGTAGTAATCATGAAATAAAGAAGGTTATGGAGATGTATAGACTCAAACACTGTATCACTGTATATTTCAAAATGCCAAATTTTTTGGCCAAAATGAATGAAATGGAAACATTAACAAAATAAATATTGCTTTTGGTTTTTCTCCTTTGGCCTAAAATTTAAATTTGCTCTGAATTATTGAAAATACACTAAACTCTGAATCGTAGCCATTTGAAACCTTAATGTCAAAATTTAGACAAACATTGTTGCCTAGAGATTCTGAATTCTCCAACTCCAAGTTATAGGCATAGATTGGTCCATTTAATCTAAGTTTTACTATTCATAGTTCATTGAATTCACTATAATTCTAAATTCACTGAACAAACCTGTTACCTTCTCTTTCATGTGGGTTTAGTGGGCTCTCTCATTCTCAGAGGTTTGTGTGCAATAGACACAATTCAGTATGTTTACCAAAAGTATTACCCTCAGTGCATAGAAATATCCAGAACAAATAAAACACATCTAATGTCCGAGTTTAAAGTTGCCCTGTCACTGGTGGTTTATTTCTTGCTCTGCAAAGTTCCTCCCCTTGTGACATGTTTACTTGCATGTTGCACTAAAGGACTGGGGAATATTTACTAAACCTCACTCTCTTTGTGAAACCATCTTCAGCTCCTGGAAGATGATGACTTGAGTAGCTGCATTATCATTGGTGAGTACAAAATGTCCATGCACAATAAGATGCCATCGCTCAAGAAAATGCTTGCCCTCATCAGCCATTAAGAGTGACGGCAGATGGGAAATGGCAACATATGGCAGTTAAACGCTGACTGAAGCCCTGCCTTTTGCCACATTTAAAAAAAAAAAATAGTTCCTTCTTTGTCCGATGATATCTTTTGATTGCAACACATGCACGATTCTTCTACTTTGCCCGATATCTTTTGATTGCAGCACATGCACGATTCTTGCCTTGCTGTCCAGTAGCGCATGTCCACATTAAGCTTTACTAACGTATCTTACCCCAAGCAAACATTAACATTCAGAATGCTGTGGTGTAGTAAACAACATTTTTGACTAAAAAAGTTTTCATCATTGCAAGAAAGACCTCAGATAGCCTCCTATTGGCCTAATTTACAGTCACATGATTGTCCCATGTGTTTCTTGAATTCCTAATACACATTGACTGTAAAGGGCACATTTAGCAATTATGTATTTGTTCAAAACCTAATATTGTAACACTGGTGAACAAATGCTAAAGGAGTTCAGAAATATGTAGATATAATTACAATATGTTCTATGCTATATTAGGATGTGTTTTGGGAATTCTAAGTGCTTATTAACAGAACTCTGTCAGTATCACACGTCTTGTGAAGAATTCCACTTAGCAAGCTGCCTGTTGAGATTTCATGCAGCAGGAGGTGTGAGACAGAAACTCATTTATTGTATTCAGGAAGACAAGACTCTTGTTTGTACTATGTGATATGACAGCAGTTTACCTAAAATAAATGTTCCCATAAAAATATTTTTATCAAGCATTGTTCAAAATGTACATTATTTCGAAGTGTTTGGACTGAATGACATTGAAATATTACATCTATATTGGTTCAAGCACTGACATTGTGACATCTGCGTACTTAGTGATCAATTAGTCACTGCATATTAATAAAAGTGACACTACATATCATAATCATATGTTATTCACATGTGCATCAGAGTTATTTAACCAAGCTGAGATGTGAGAAGACTTGACAAGAAAATGGCAAATTTCGATCTAAAACAGCTATACTGGAAATATAGCTGTGTTGTCAAATTTTTCAATATCGATTACCTTGGCCAAGAAAATATATTGACAGGTACAGAACATCAGGCCATAAGCAGACTATTGTTTATACTCACACAAACATTAAACACTAACAAATTTGTGAAAGAACAAGATGTACATTAGGGCAAATGTTAAAAATAATGTTTAATAATGTTACAATAACACATAAGTTGCATTGCAGTATTTTATTAAAAATGTATATATTTATTTTTATCGTGAATGTATATATAGTTTACACAATTCACATCAAGTAACAAAGTATTTGGCAATTTTTATTTACTTTTTCAACATATCCTTATTTATTAAACTATCTCTTGCTCACAAACACGTTGCACAGAAAAATAAATTAGTTCCTCATAGGGTGGCGCATATTTGGTCTACGTCTCAATCAACTTGGATGCACGGTTATTTTATATTGGTCCAAAAAACTTGATTCAAGGACTTCAGGACATAAGGCTTTAGTTGGCTTTCCTTTTTATATTGCACGGAATAGAAGACTGTGATCATTTTTCACTATATGCTCAACTGGACATATCCCTATATTGCTAATTAATCTATCTATGCAGAACACTAAAACATGTTGCCATCTCATATTATATGAGCATATGGAGTCTCATTTCCTTGATGGTCCGGGGTATGGAGGCGGTGATGGATATTGCATAGGAATGTGTTGAGTTGGAGTGTATGGTGGGGGAAGGTCCAGAGGATATTCCATCTCATATTCATAGGTGTATGGTGGTGGAGACACTGAAAATGAAGACATTTGAAAACTTAGAGATTTATCGTCAATGTGGTATGGTTAAGACTGAATCAGAAATATCAGTTTAAACTATACAATACACAAGTACATTTCTTCTACGATTGAACTCAAATTATTATTATTTTTTCTTTATGCAATATGCAAATAGTGTTTGGACCTGCCGGTGGAACATCAAGAGTTTTAGGCTGTGTACATAAATTTTTTTTAATGCCCCTAAGCTTGATGAAGTTTCACCTGTGCTTTCCAGGTTTCTAGAGAAAAAGATGGAGATTTTACACCGCTCAATACCTCTCTTACACTCTGTCTTACAAGCAAATTTTTGTATTATTGATAGAACACTGGATATGACATCCTACCAGATTTCCACAATGAGTGCCGAAGGTGCACAGTTGCGTGGGGTGGGGGGGGACATAGACTCCAATCTACCATGCTAGATCATCTGGGTTATTTGCGGTTGTGATGGATGCCGTGCTTTTTGGTTCCATTGTATTCTGGAGTTCTGTCTCAACTGCACCACCTAGTTGTTACACAATATGATTTCCATGGGCATTCTATTTTCAGCAGGAATTTGGAAAAATGTTCTATCTGGTAAAAAGTATTTTTCAATTATCATGTTGGAGACCGCCAGATCGACTGTATATTATTATTTTGAAAAACGTTCATGCTCTATTTTTGTAGAGTACAAAAAACTAACTTGAGTCTAAATTGAAAAATAAACCTTTTATTCAGCGATTAGTTAGGGTGAGCAATAGATATATAATGCCAAACATAACAGTTTTAAATAGATCATATCTACGTCAGTACCACTAGCTGTTCAATTCATGGTAATCAAAAATTTCTGTGCCAGAGCAGAAAACATTTTATAAATGCTGCAACTAGATCAAAAGACTTTTGTCCTTCTATGGAAATTGTTCTGATTTCACAGTCAAATGTAAAATATACTCCTTTTAAGAACTGGTTTCTATTTTTGTTCAGCTTACTTTAGAATGACAGCAGACTTCTAGTTAACATGCACATTGCTGAAGTGTTTCTTTTGTTTAGATAAACAGATTATGCACCACGTTCTATTAAACAGCACAATGGACCTTACAGCTCACATTTCTAGCTATAGGTCTTTTCTTTTATTGCTCAGGACAGTAGAGAGAATATAATGTTTAAGAGTCCTCAAGCTGTCAATGAGACAGCCACTAGAGGCTGGATTAACCCTAATGTAAAAATAGCAGTTTCTCTGAAACTGCTATGTTTACAGAAGAAAGGGTTAATCCTAGATGGACCTGGCACCCAGACCACTTCATTAAGCTGAAGTGGTCTGGGTGCCTATAGTGGTCCTTTAAGATACTGATAACTTTTAACATTATGTATGTTACCACCTACTAATGGGTGTCATTCAATCGGGAGATATAAAATCCACTAAAAACAGCCTTTTCCCGCAATTCTATGTTGGTAAATATCCTAGTTGGTGATGTGCTTGACAAAATATAGAAATCAAAACATAGGACTGACTGACACAACTTGTTCAATTTTCTATATATAATCTAACATAGCATGGCATCTCATGTTATTCTTTCAGAACACTATTGATCTTATTGCCCAGGCTATGTTCTTGGTCTCTGAAGAAATTTCATTTTATTGCCTTTCCTCCAGTCCTGTGACATTAAGCCAGAGGATATACAGCCTCTGAAGATTAAAACCCAAGCCAAGAAGTCGCCTCAAGGAGAATCTTTGACTAACTGTCACCTGACCTTGAGTAAAATATAGTATTCTTAACCTTTATTTTATCTGATCTCCCATTGCCCTAATCATGCAAAGACGGCTGCTGGCTTTTTTTTCATTTACAGGAGTGTTCCTAATTAATTTCTGTAACTGAATGTGAATACTATATACAGGCCAATTAAGCATGCATTGCTGAGTATATAGGATTAGCTCAATTTATCCCCATATGGACCATGAGATTCACATGAACTCGCTGATATCTAAGAGGCAGGGGAAGCAAATCAGAATCGTTAGAAAAGCTGCAAGAATTTCAGCACTTGTTACGTTTATATATTTTGACGTATTTTCTAATTTGTATATAATGCCAGATTGCTTTGAAAAGACATTCTAAGTGTCTGTTTCACAGAATTATGTGTCTGCTTTTATTCATTTTAAAGCAATGATTAATAATGGAATAAAATGAAAGGTCCAGGCCCAAGTAATAAATTAGGTATAATCTCACATAATTATGCATTGAGGATGTTGTATGATTCGACAGAAACCAAATGGCAATATCTATAAAATGTAAAAAAACTTATCTTAGTTTATTATGCCCACCGCCATTAGTATATCCCACTTGTTGTGAAACTTTGATGTCACTGCTGTTAGTACAATCAAAATCCCTTACCTGGATAAGAACTGATGGTGTTGATGTGTGTGGTTCGTATAACGCCTACCCGAGTACCTCTGGTATTCTTCATACACATACAGATACATATTGCAATTCCTGCAATCACTCCCATGATAAATACAATGCCAAACACAATGCCAGCTATCGCTGTGCCTCTGAAAAAAAAAAAGTACATCTGGAGAAGTCAGAATCATAAGAACCAGAACACTTACTGTATGCATTAAATAATACATAGATACAAGATATGTGGACAAATACCCAGGTAGACTTTATGAGATAATATACCTACATTTATAACATGGAAATCTATACCTTGCTGATGTGAAATAAAGCACATGGACACAAACAGACAAACAAAGTCCCTTGTGTACAAATGTGTACACACAGAGACACGCACACAGATACACACACGAACAGACAAATGCTGACTTGTAATCACAGCTGCCTACTTTTTACTTCATTCCTTTACAAATGTATGGGG